GCCGTAACAACAATTTTAAGGGTAACATATGATGCCAAATCTGTCAAAGGTTTGGTCATACGGCTCAATAGTGTTTTCAGCATGGAATTATGTGTGCTCCACCCACCGCCCACTTCTCTAACGCTTGTTCCGAGTTGTCACAACAATCCGATGCATCCCTCTGGTTCTCGGACACGGGTGCTACGAACCATGTGACCCCAGACATTGTAGGTCTTGATCACTCCGAGGCTTGCCAAGGTACTGAAACACTTCATATTGGTAGTGGTAAAGGACTTCCTATTGCTAATGTTGGTTCCAAATCATTTTTTACCAAGTCCAATGCCTTTCGTATGCGTAATATTTTGCATTTTCCTTCCATTTCTAAAGCCTTACTTAGTGTTCGTCAATTTTCTGCTGATAATAATGTTTTCTTTGAGTTTCACCCTCATTTTTTGTTGTGAAGGATCCAGTTACCATACAGATCCTCCTTACAGGCCCGAGTGAGAATGAACTTTTTATTCACTTTGCCTTCCTCATTTCCATAAAATAAGTCCCATGGCTTTCTCGGCTGAGCGTACCTCGTCCGCAATTTGGCATCGTCGGTTGGGTCAGCCACATGGATAGTTGTTTAGAGCTATGGTCAATAAAAATACACTTCCGTGCTCTTCTAGGTCTCGAGAATATTTTTGTAATGACTGCCAACTTGGTAAATCATCTAATTGTCTCTTTCTTTGTCTGATTTTAGGAGTCGTTTAGTTCTAGATCTGTTGTTTAGTTACGTTTAGGAGCCTGCCCCCACTTTATTTTGTGATGGTCATAAGTGCTTATGTGTTTCCTATATTTGAAAACTTTATTTCTATGGTTGAACGACAATTTGGCACCAAAATCAAGTCGGTGCAAACAGATTGGGTGGGGAGAATTTCAAAAATTTTCCGAGTATTTCTCCAAAATGGGTATTATTCACCGTGTTTCTTGTCCCCATACTCACGAGCAAAACGAAAGGGTTGAACATCGCAATCATCATATAGTTGAGACTGGACTATCCCTTTTAGCTTATTTCGGTGTCCCACAAAAATTTTGACATTTAGCGTTTGATACCGCAGTCTATTTAATAAATCGAATGCCTTCCATAGTGTCTCAATTCCAATCTCTTTTCGAGTGTCTTTTTCACAAACGACTCGACTATATTTTTCT